ACTGACCTAAAGAACCTCACTGACCTACAGAACCTCACTGACCTACAGAACCTCACTGACAAACAGAACCTCACTGACCTACAGAAACTCAATGACCTACAGAACCTCACTGACCTACAGAACCTCACTGACCTACATAAACTCACTGACCTACATAACCTCACTGAGCTACAGAACCTCACTGACAAACAGAACCTCACTGACCTACAGAACCTCACAGACAAACAGAACCTCACTGACCTAAAGAACCTCACTGACCTACAGAACCTCACTGACCTACAAAACCTCACTGACAAACAGAACCTCACTAACCTACAGAACCTCACTGACAAACAGAACATCACTGATAAACAGAACCTCACTGACCTACAGAACCTCACTGACAAACAGAACCTCACTGACCTACAGAACCTCACTAACCTACAGAACCTCACTGACCTACAGAACCTCACTGACAAACAGAACCTCACTGACCTACAGAACCTCACTGACCTACAGAACCTCACTAACCTACAGAACCTCACTGACCTACAGAACCTCACTGACCTACAGAACCTCACTGACCTACATAAACTCACTGACCTACAGAACCTCACTGACCTACATAAACTCACTGATCTACAGAACCTCACTGACCTACACAAGGAGAGGTCAGTGAACAAGGCCAGGCTGATTCTGGCAGATCCTGATCACCACTCCTTGGTGAGTTCAGGTTGCTTCCATCTGGATGCAGGTTTCTGCTGCCCACATGTCGGATGAATAACTCATTCATCCCTGTAGTGATCAGGCTTCTCAAGGAACTGAGATGATTTCTGTTATTTTAATGTCTTCTCTAGTCTGGATGTTTTGTGAACCTACTGACTGTGAAACTAATGCCCCTTGGGGATTATAAAGATTGTTGAACTTGAACTCCTTCTCTGGGTGGTTGTGCATTTTGGGCTCTTTGTGAGCACCACAATGGGGGGGGGGGCAGGTATATTCTAAGTAGCGAGGAAGAATGAAGAAAAGGAGGAGTCAACATTAGCATTTGCCTACGAGGCAACTATGAAATGTAAAAGTAATTTGAAGCTGAGTTTTTGAAAATTCCATAGGACTTTCTCTGTACGTCCGGAGCCATGAAAAATGAGGAAAAATATTTACAATTTGTGGAAAATTCATAATACTTGACATGTATACCATCCGTACACGATGAAATGAGGTATACCCTACATTCAGTCATAGCAAAAATGGGAAGGATTTAAAAAAACATTTAAAATTCATCAGTCACTGTGGATAGCGTGGGACACTTGAGTAGGCGGTGAAATCGCCGCCTGTTATTGAGAAGGCAGACGGTCCTGGTTACAGACTTTCCTCCATCCACCATCATAAAAAAGTTTTCAAGTCAAAAAGAAATTTGAAATCTACAAGATTTTCTTACATGCCAGTTAGCAGAGTTTTGACATATAAGTTATTACCTTGCTCTGCTGGAGTCTCAGAAAAGGAAGTTTAAAAAAAAAAAAAACTTGAAACACAGCCTACCAAACAAAACAAACAACCCCCCCAACTTTACTCAAGTAGCGCTGTGCTACATACAGGAAACATCCCATCTTTCACCTGAAAAGAAAATATTCACAGATAACTAATGCCACCTCCTTCCCTACAATTTTATCTGTCTTCACTATCTTATTCTATTCTCCCTTTGCTCCTGAATATTGTTTATCCCTTCATAATATTCATTACCCTGCTGGAGCCTCCGGAGCTCCCTCCCAGTCGGAGGTTGTTGTAGGCCAGATGGCTGTAAGGGTTGTAGCCCACAAACCCTGGGGTGGAAGGCATTTGCTGATGGAAGACAAATGAGACAAAACACGAATGAGAAATGACACACAGACAAGAGGAAGAGGGATAAAACACAAATAAGTGAAAGGGGGGAGATAACATAAAATTAACTTTTATTGATGACCTAAAAATGCAAAACAAAAACTGAGCAGCAGGCTTGCATTCAGAATCAGTGCACAACATGTAAATGCTGCACCTATATAAAGCTCGATTCATTTTTGTGAGCACAAGGTGCTTTCATTTAATCTTGTGTTTGCAATTCTTCAGTTCACAATGTTGCACCCTGCTGCTGAATGTATAGAAAGGGAAAGCATCATAACAAGCACATACACCAAGACTACTTGCATAAAAAGTAAGAAACTGATCATTCATGTCAAAGGTTCCTCAGTCTGGAGGAGCGTTTCACTTGAGCACAAGAGAAGCGCTTCAGGCAAAAATAAAAAATAAAAATAACAAATAAAAGTAATTCATTAAAATAAAATAAATTACAAAAACTTGTTCCTGCCATTCCCTCTTCAGGGGTCTCCACAGCGAGTCCTCCTCCATCTCTGTCCTCACTCCAACCTCCTCCATGTCTCTAACTCCATCCATGTATCTCCTCTGTCTTTTTCCTGGCAGCTGCATTTCTACTATCATTCTACCAATATACCCACTGTCCCTCCTCTGGACATGTCCAAACCACTGTCCCTCGCCTCCTCTGGACATGTCCAAACCATCTCAGTCTGGTCTCTCTAACTTTATCTCCCAGTTGTTCAACCAGTGCTGTACCTCTGATAATCTCATTCGTTATCTTATCCATCCTTGTCACTCCTAAGGAGAACCTCAACATCTTCATTTCTGCCACTTCCAGTTCTTCTGTCTTTTTGTCCATGTCTCTGTCTCCCGACCATACAACATAGCTGGTCTCACAACTCTCTTATACACTTCACCTTTGCTGCTTTCTTGTTGTCACAAATCACTCCTGAAATATTTCTCCAGCCAATGCATAAATCCATCTCCAAGTTCTCTTCACTGTTTTCTTTTCTCACCACAGATCACAGTCATTTGCAAACTTTATAGTCCACGGGGATTCCTTCTAGACATCATACTTCTTTAAAAGTCTTCAGTTGATCCAAAATGCTGCTGCCAGAGTCTTAACTGGAGTTAGTGGGAGAGATCATATTTCTCCAGTTTTAGTTTCTCTCCATTGGCTCCCTGTCGAGTCCAGAATAGAATTCAAAATCTTACTTCTAACCTACAAAGCTCTCAACAACCTAGCTCCATCTTATATTACAGATCTTATTGTTCCATATTTTCCTAACAGAGCACTTCGTTCTCAGACTGCAGGTTTACTTGTGTCCGTGAGGCTGACACATTATCCAGTTTTAAAACTCGACTTAAGACTTTCCTTTTTGCTAAATCCTATAGTTAGGGTTGGGTTGGGTTTCCTGAGCTGTCCCTTAGTTATGCTGCTATAGGCTTAGACTGCTGGAGGACAAACTGACCACAATTTTCACTCTGCTACTGTCTTTACTTACTCTGCTCAACCTGTTTGTATTTGTAATTATTTTTTCTATCCTTAACGTGTTTTTGTCTTTCAGATACACCTGGACCTATACCTGGACCTACCATTCTATGTTCGTCTGTCTCTCCTTCCTGTCCTCTCAGACCAGCTGGTCAAAGCAGATGGCCGCTTGTCCTGAGCCTGGTTCTGCTGGAGGTTTCTTCTTTTTAAAAGGGAGCTTTTCTTTCCACTGTTGCCACTGTGCTTGCTCAGAATGGGAGACTGTGATGAAGCCAAGATTCAACTTGTATGCTGGATTCTTTAGAGAACTTTACTAATTGGCTTTTTTCTCAACCTCCATTTGATCATCTCTGAATTTGCTTGCTTAAGATGGAAGACTGTGACGAAGTGAAAACTCAAAGCAATCTGTTGGCTCCTCAGATAAATAATGTTATTAACTGACTTTGTATGTGAATGTTTCTGTTCAGTACCCTGAGATGAATTCTGTTGTGATTTGGCGCTATATAAATAAACTGAATTGAAGTTACTCTTTTCCTCTCATTATCCACCTGTGTTTACCCTAGGCTTCTGGCCTTGGGAGGGGTGGTGGTGTCAGCTGTATGCAGGGGTCAACATAAGCGGTTTCCGTTTGACCGAGATGACCTATTTTTGTCTCGAACAACAAAGTGACATAAACATGGATCAGTCATCTGTAAAAATGAAAAGTGGGAAGAAATAAAAAACGCGTTTTCAACCATTCCAATTTGGGTGGGACAGACCCGGATTTGGCCTCCCCATCCCACAAGAAGAGGGGCAGAACACCCAAATGTCCCTCAGGAAGCTGGCTGGGCTCGCCGGTGTCTCTGTGGGAGGAGCGACACAGCGTGGTTGTTTCACGGGATTTATGCAACAGCAGAGTCAGACTGCTGTAACAAGTCTATACTGGCTGTAAAGTGCACGTTTACATCTTTCAGAAACCGTTGGAATTTTGGGGATAGCTCACACTTTTGCAAAGTTACAGTAATGCAAAACTAACTAAAAAAAACTAAAACAAAAAACAATGGGTAAGACGCTCAGAACAAAAGAAAAACATTTTATTGTTAAAGTTCAGGTATGTTTTTATGTTTATTACCGTAATTGATTCAATCATCATTTATTAGGTCAAAAATCTTTGATTATTAGATTAAATATTGATTGGGGGGCGGGGGGGGGGGTTGTGTGTGTGTGAGTGCACGCAAGTAATTTAAATGTTTAAAGGTTTACAGTAAAAGTAAATAATCTAACCTTTAGTTGTTGTGTACATCATTACTGGACAAATGGTGGAATCATGGTTTGTAGACACAGACGTGGTGTTTGTAAAGCTTGTATTTTCTATTTGTTTACTTGTTCTATTTTAACTGCATGCTCCAGAGGATGTTTTGTCAATAAATTACAAAAGAAAAAAAAAGAAAAAAATCTTGATGTGTTCTGAGGGTCATCATCATACAGACTTGTGCAACTTGCGTGCGTGACTAAACTTCTGGTCTTCAAAGAAAACTGTGGCGCCGCAGGAGCGCGCTCAGCCTGTTTGAGTGTCTCCCTCAGTGAGAAAGGAGGCTGTCTGCTGCTTTAGTTTTTATAATTAAACCATATTAACGCTAAACGATGAATATTTATATTTCCCAGATTATAACAAAACTTTGTTTTAACTTAAATTTTTTACCTTAAACACACAAAGTTCCCTTTGTGAGAGACAGTTTCAGATGTTTGCAGTTCATCATAAATATCTGCTAAATTCAATTCTACACATTGTTTTAGCAACAACACAGTGTTTTTGCTGTTTGAGTCTGTTAAACATGATTTTTTTAGTAGAGCCCGACCAATATATTGGTACGGCGGATATTTGCACCACTTGTAAACCTTGTGTGGGTCTAGGTATAGCACGGATCTGATTTGCTTAGCCTCATAGTTGCTAACAGCTGCGCTAAATAAACAAGCCCCGCTCTACTCGCTGTTTACTTGGATTTTTGGGATGGACCAAGCTAAAAAAAATTCAACCTCTATATCAGTTATCAGCATCCATTTTGCATTGGAAAAATTTGCAGATATTTGTAATAACACTTGAAACTAACGCTTACATAGAGAACACTGAGATTTTGGCAATAATAAAGAAAAGAAAGAGATATATCTTGGTATTATTTACCTTTACCTTTGTATTTGGGGGCAGCTGTGGCTGAGTGGTTAGAGCAGTCATCCTCCATTGGGAGAGTTGGGGGTTCAAATCCACCAGCAGTCACATGTTACAGTGTCCCTGAACAAGACACTGAACCCCTCATTGCCTCTGATGTGTGTCTCATCAGTGTATGAATGTGACCTAAAGCACTGATTAGTCTCTACAGATTCAGGTTATCTTGGTAGAAATAGTAGAGTGCTGTATGAATGTGTTTGTGGAGGTAAATGAGGGCACAGATTGTGTTGTAAAACTCTTTTAGAGTATCTTGATTAGATAGAAAGGCTCAATATAAGTACAGTCCATTTACCATTTATTCCTAATAAATGGTTAAAACAGCTTGATTCAAAGAACTAAAGTTGCAGAAATCAGCAAGTTTACCTGGGAGAGTGACTTAAAAAGGCTGTGCATGCTTCTGCGGCAACGCCCTCTCTGCTGGTTTAGCACAGGAGTCAGTGTCTGTATGCTAATGATGTTAGCCTGAATGCACTGACAATGAATACAAGGTCAATTTTAGATACAAATGTCCCAGGTGGTCTGGGCACAGTGTTGGAGGAGGGGGTAATGATGGGGAAAACGGGACATTTGGTGTCTTCCCCACAGCACAGAATTGATGACGTGTGAACATGTACAGACATTTTATACATTGCATGATTTTTATGGTGGGGCGGACTGCCCTCTTAGGATAATGGTAGGGACTGACCACAACAATCATCCTACATACCGATGCTGCCTGGCCACACGAACCCCTGCCAAACTTAAAAGTCCATACAGAATGTACTTTACCTGTGTACTCCTGCCTCTACTCTAAACTGTTACACTCTCTTTTGAAAATAAGTGTTTACTACAGCCATTTCCATTCTCTTGGGAAAATCCACCACCATCTGTCCTTCCCGGTTCCTTTCCTTGACAAAACACCTGTCCAACACTTCCTCATCTCCTCTGTTTTCTTCATCAACATGTCCATTCAGGTCTGCTCTGATCACCACTCTCTCCTCCCTGAGAATACTCGTATTAGAGCCCGACCAATATGGAAATTTTGGCTATCACCAATACAATATTGGGAGGAGAAGGCTAATGTTGATAACGATATGCTGGCTGAAAATGGTTGAGCTTTGTCCATCTTCAAGAATCTAAGAAAACAGCGAGTGGAGTGGGGTTTTTTAATTAGCGCAGCTGTTAGAAGCCAAGTTAATCAGATCCATGCTTTAATTAGTCCCACAGTAGGTTTACAAGTGGTGCACTGGTAACAAAAACAGTCCTCCTAACGTGTGTTCACATTTTTTATCCTCCAATGTTCACCATAAAGTT